GCCCCACCCCACCCACCACTGTACCTAGTGGAGGTTCCCAGTGACCTCCTTAGGAGATGTGCTTTGGCTTGCCCCTCTGGGGCAGGTGGCTCTGTGTATCACAAAGCACCTTCCAGGGCTCAGTGGTCTTTCATGTCCCATTGCTATTAGTCCCTTAGTGTGCATGTGGAAGAGCAGAGAGGCACGGGAGAGCCCCAGAATCTCCAGAAACCTGGTGCCTTGGTGCAGACCAGCCCCTTATAATTTCTGATGGGAGATTTATTACTGCTTTGCAAACCAAGAGGCAGGTCTAGTCCCTAAGGAGCTGCTGACTGATCACATACCACTATATCACTCCTAGTCCCATGTACCCTCCTTGCCCACTGCCTCAACCCTTTGTCTACAGCTTGTGTGCACCTGCTGAAGGGCCAGTGATCTACTTTCTGCTATCAGACATTTTGTGGTTTACTGTTATTGCCATGAGAACCGGGATCTTCAAAGGAAACAGCATCTGCCCCAGCGCTGGTGAGCACCCAGCTGGTGCCTCTTCTGTCCCCACAAGTTCTCCAGCAGCTTCAGCTCTGTGGTGGAGGCTGCAAAGCCCCTGTGCATGACATTCTAAGTCTCTTTCCTCCTCTGTGCAAAACAGTGTGGTGCCAAGTGCAGAAGTACAAAGCCAGGGCTGGGGGGGAGGGGCTGTTGATAAAAAAACATTGTGGAGAAAGGTATCCCTCAGGTAAAATCCATGCTATATGGGTTACCCCCTTCCCTCCAGCCTCCCTCCCAGCACCAGCCTGCTTACATGCTGTTTAGACAGGCACAAATTTCATGGGGTGCCAGCCAGATGCCTTAAGATTGAGGGAAAGCCAAAACAAAGTCAACCTGATGTAGCTGGGTGGTTTAATTAGCAGGAAGAGCTGAGCAGCAGCAGGCTGGTTCCCAGCTGAGTCTTTCCTGCTGTATCACACATACATTTATCAGGTATTCTGTTTCCTGGAAAAAAAACACAAACCAAAAACAAAAAATCATAAGAATTCACTTCTTAAAGAGTAGAGATATTTTTCCTTCTGATGTGGTGAATGCAATTACCTAAGGCAGGGCAGTATGAGATAACTCACTTATTCAGCTCCCATTCTCCAAAGAAACCATCATCATTCTGTCAGAAAAGGCTTTAAAAAACAATTTGCATCCTCAGTGCTAAAACATTGCCACATAAAAAACCTGTCCTTAAGATTTCCACTTACCAGCTGCAGCATCACAAGCAAAACACAGGCAGGGCAGGTTCATTATTATCAAGGCCATATACACTATGCAAGCTCCCTGTGTTTGCTGACCCTTCTCCCAGTGCTGTTGGCCTCTCCTTGTCCTTCAGGAGGAATTCCCTGCCAAGAGAGCACACCAGCATCCTTTGAGAAGCGTGTGAGGCACCCTGGGACTGGGAAAGTGTGCATGGGGCAAGAGAACCCAAGCTTTGTCGGTTTGGAGAGCTCAACAAACAGAAACCATAAGCCTGTGCTTGCCCCCAAATCTAATCACAATTAAGCTGCACCCTCCACTCCTACTTCCTCTGCCATTATATAATGGGAAGTGGAGTAATGGCTTTCAGCAATGCTGTTTGGATTGGCAGTGGTCCAGTTCTGGACTCGATATTTTTTATTTGTTTGGGGTTTTTTAAATATTTTTTTTAATGATGGGGGGAGAGTAGGTTGCCGGAGAGGAGAAAGCATCAGTTTGGTTTGTCTGCAATCCCTGTTCTGCTTTGGGAGCTTTAGAGGACAGACACGTTCTTCCATCTCCGCTAATCCTGCTCTGCTACAGAGGATTTTCCTGCCATTAAATGATAGCTTGTGAGAAAAAAATGCCAACTTTTCGGAGACTGACTCGTATGGCTCATGGCAGCCTCATGAGCAGGAGGGAGGACACAGCCTCTGCCTGGCTAGGTAAGCCATGGATCTAGATTATTTCCATTGGGAATTTTATTTTTGACTGTTTGATGCTGAGCTGGTTATGTGTCTCTGTGCCAGCACCTGTTTCCTGGAGAGACGGCCAGTCTCTTACTGTTGGTGATCTTTTCCCACCTCAGATGGTAAGAACCTGCCCTTGGCACGGCTGGTGGGAAGGATGCGGATGAAGCCGTGAAAAGGAGTATCACATAAACTGAAGCATTCCCTGAGGAGGTCGGTGCTGGAAAAAGGATACTCACCAGGAAGGTGCTGGGCACTTCACTTGGAGAGTGTGTGGGAGAAGAGCTTTTTCCTTCATTTTCCTTTCTAAACATACAGCTTATTGTGGGAAAATGATGCAGGGAAATCACTGAGGATGAAACCTGTCTCTGCTCTTCCTCTGTGCTTTTAGATACCTCAGGTTCGCTTGCCAGACCTGAAATGCCACTAGTGAATAGTCAAGGTGATGTTTGCTATCATTTTAAATGGTGAGTATACTCTTACTCTGCATTACCAAGTAGTGGGTTAGGCAGATCGTTCAGAGACGTGTAGGTTAAATACTCAGTTATTGCAATAATTGTCTCTTTACCCTTCTAAAAATGCTGCAAGCATTTCTTTGGTCTCTCACTCTTCCTTTTAAATACTGAATTACTGTTATATTTAAAAGAGCAAAAGAGATCATGCGAGAGTGGTATTTCATTTATTCCTTAAGTGCGCAAATATTTTTGTCCTTACTGCTGTGTTTCATCCTTTTTCTTAAACACACATCTCATTTGAGCCACTTCTGTGTCAATGAGTTGGAGGTGTCTTCCAGCTGCTGCCCTGTCTGCTGCCACAGTGTTAAAAGCAAAGAACATCCTTTTTGGGGAAGGAGTAAGGAAGGAGAGGTGGGAGTGTTTCATGCTATCTTGGTCATACGAGATCTGACCAACAAAGATCTGATCTCCTGTGCTCTGAGCAGCACCTCTCCTGAGGGCTTGGTGAGGTTCAGATGGAGGATAATTTTCTAGCTTCTGTTGCAAGAGAAAGGGAGAATTGCCACAAAGACTGTGGTGCTTAGGGGCCCTTCTGAGCTCCTGTTGCCAGGGGATTGTTTTCTAGGTCGTTGGTCCTCAAGTGTTTATTTTCCATGTTGTGCTCAATGCAGTGAGATACACTTCTAAACAGAAAAGTGTGCTGTGAAATGCCATTAGCAGAAGAACCAGAATTGGCACTAAAACCTCTTGTGCATAAGGAAAACAGGCTAGATATGGCTTGGGTACAGACACTTACTCTATCAAATGATTAGAGAACAAGCAGGGAGGGGAAGGAGGGGATTTAGTTATCAGCGTGCTCATCTGTACACAGTGTGCACAGCTGCTGGGGGAGCTCTGCTCTGAAGGCCAGAGATGGGACTGAGCTTGAGGAAGCTGTAGCTAAACATCGAGCTTGCATGGAAGAATCTAATATATAGGACAGCCTATACACATACACCCCTCTGGATGTCACCCTGAGCCCATGCAAGGCTGTCATTCCAGCAGAGACACTTGCATCCATCATTTCCAGACAGCCACCTACGATAAGACATTTGGGAACAGGCAAATCCTTAATCTGTCTGGCCCTTGGTTTATGTAACTGCCTAACAAAAACAACATATGCCCCGTGTTTGCAAGCAATAGCATGGACTGGTGCAAAGGATTGCAAAAGAGGCAGCCCCTGGGCATCCTGCACAAAGGAAGTGCCATCGGAAGCCTGCGTGTTGTCCCCTTCTTGTCCTTACTTAGGCTCCTCCAGTCCTGTTGTCTGCCCAGGGCACTGACTAGAGGGCACTTTCCTTTGGCCATGGTTGTTAGATAAGGGCTCCGGAAAAATGAGACGAGCATAAAGACAAGCAAACAAAGTGACGACCTGTCTAAAATCCTTTCCACCTCTCAAGAGTCCTTCACTATCATTTATCCTGGCAGTGATGCTGTTTTGCTGATTCTCTGTTTGCGATAGTGTGGCCAGGCTTGATGGGATTAAGAGGCCATGGCTAAAGTCCTTCTGGGCTCCTTCTACAAATCTAAATCCCCTTTCTACATGCATAGACTAGGTTGATTTGAAAAGGACCAGGCTGGGTGACTTCTGGGTTGATGTCTTCTTAGTGGGGACCTGCCCAGCAATTGGTTTTGCAAGGCTCCTGCTTGAAGAAGTTACAGGCAGCCTATCACAAATACAAGACTGTGTGTGTTGCCTTTAAAAAGGATGGAGAAAGGGAAGAGCAATTGCAGTTTGAACTGTAGTTGGGTCTGTTCACTAAAGCCTTAGAGGCTGCAAAAATAAAAGCTTGACACTTGCTGAAGCTGATGTTTCCTGACGTTATCACCTCACAAGTCTGTCTTAATAAAAATGTCCATTGGGAATACAGTGTTAGTGGGCAGTCACTGTGCTGCAAACTGGTGGAGAGAGGCAGCCCTGGCTGCTGGGAGCTTCTCTTTCCAGTCAGCAGCAGTGTGGGGAAAAGCCTGTTCCTTGTCTCTTGGGGCCAGGCACATGCACAGCAGCAGCAACATGATCCCAGCAATGCTGTAGTAAAGGTGGCTGTTGGTAAAGCTGTTGTTATCTCACTTCTTGCTAAAAAAAAAGTATAAAAGGATTATGCTTCTATGGGAGCCAATAAACTGCAACAGAAAAACCAGCCAGTAGCAGCACCACTGCTTCCTGCTAGTGACCACATGGAGAGCTTGCTGGTGTGGCTGCTCATTTTGTTGAGTGGCAGGTAGGACGTGCCTGTGAGAGCAAATACAAAATGAGCTCTGCCTTCAGTTTGTTCTCTCTAATGGCTTGATTTCACAGGTGTCTTGCTGACTTGATTTTTTTTTCCTACAAGAATGCCTGTCCATGGAGGCTGATGTCTCCTTTTCCTTTCGTTCTTCTCTTGATTTCTTCCCAAGAGTTTCTCCTTCACTTCCTTGTTGTACATCCACCTGCTTGGGAATAACTTGGAAAGAAACCACAATAGCCACACACTTCCCATGTCAGGCTGATAAAAGGACAAAGAGGCTGCTCTCCTCAAAAACCAGGAGTGATGGTGACTGTCTTGAGAACTGACAAAACAGTAGAAATTGCTGGTATTGAAGTTTCATAGAATCATAGAATCATAGAATCATAGGGGCTGGAAGGGACCTCGAGAGATCATCTAGTCCAACCCCCCTGCCAGAGCAGGGTCACCTAGAGTACATCACACAGGAACTCATCCAGGTGGGTTTTGAATGTCTCCAGTGAAGGAGACTCCACAACCTCCCTGGGCAGTCTGTTCCAGTGCTCTGTCACTCTCACAGTAAAAAAATTTTTTCGGATATTCACCTTGAACCTCCTATGCTCCAATTTACACCCATTACCCCTTGTCCTATCACTGGTCATCACCGAGAAAAGCCTAACTCCGTCCCCCTGACACTCACCCCTTACATATTTGTAAACATTGATGAGGTCACCCCTCAGTCTCCTTTTCTCCAAGCTAAAGAGACCCAGCTCCCTCAGCCTTTCCTCATAAGGGAGATGTTCCACTCCCTTAATCATCTTCGTAGCTCTGCGCTGGACTCTTTCGAGCAGTTCCCTGTCCTTTTTGAACTGAGGGGCCCAGAACTGGACACAATACTCCAGATGTGGCCTCACCAATGCAGAATAGAGGGGGAGGAGAACCTCTCTTGACCTACTAACCACACCCTTTCTAATGCACCCCAGGATGCCATTGGCCTTCTTGGCCACAAGGGCACATTGCTGGCTCATGGTCATCCTCCTGTCTACCAGGACCCCCAGGTCTCTTTCACCTACACTACTCTCCAGCAGTTCAGCCCCCAACCTGTACTGGGACATGGTGTTGTTCTTCCCCAAATGTAAAACTCTGCACTTCCCCTTGTTGAATTTCATCATGTTTCTCCCCGCCCAACTCTCCAACCTATCTAAGTCTCTCTGAATGGCAGCACAGCCTTCTGGTGTGTCAGCCACTCCTCCCAGCTTAGTGTCATCAGCAAACTTGCTGAGGGTACATTCTATACCCTCATCCAGGTCGTTGATGAAGATGTTGAACAACACCGGTCCCAGCACCGACCCTTGAGAACTGACAAAACAGTAGAAATTGCTGGTATTGAAGTTTATCTCATCTGTGATGAGATAATGAGGAAAGCAGTTGAACAATATCCTGTAATCTGTTTTTCCTCATGCCGTTTTACCCACAAAACATAAGGGGAATGTGTTTTTAAACACTGTACTGCATCCTTAGCAGATGATAGTTCCCCTTGCAGTGCTGCACCAGCTCATGTCTCTGGCGCAGAAATGGCAGGTTAAGTGAATAAAGAGAAGAAAGAAGCAAAAAGCATGAATTTGATGTGCCTCAGACATGTAACTGACCTCACCTGCCCCCTGCCAGACTAGCATATAGTACACCCTGCTCTAAAAAAAAAACAGAAATACTGCAACCCCTCCACAGCTGCTGGCCTTCAAAGCACCTCTTCTTGCCCTGTCCCCCATCCCCCCCTCACTGCCACCAAACCATGTCCCATCAACTGGCAGAGAGACCAGTCACAGAAACACTGAGCAATACTCAAGTCTAGGTGAGTCCCTATCTTGGGACATATATATATATATATATATATGCACACGCACACTTCTCAGAGTGTTTAAAAACCTCCTTTTTAGGAATCTTTCACAAGAGCTCCTCTGTGAGCTCTGGGGTACAAGGACTGGATGGCAATTACCCTGGCTAGAAGGGAGGCAAAGACAGCAAAACTTGTTTTCCCCGTTGTGACTCATACATCTGCTAATAACGCACCCTGTCCTTCTCTCCTCCCGTCCCTCTGTGGGGATGGTGCCTTCCTCTCTGCCAGTGATCTTCTGGGCCCCCCGTGCCCACGCGGGGTGGGCCTGCGTGCGGTCCTGCCCTGCCGGCTGCGTCTGCACCCAGGAGCGGAGCTGCGCCGTCCTCTGCGACCGCGCCGGCCTGGGCCAGGTCCCCGGCCAGTTCCCGTGCGAAGCCTCTTCCATCAACCTGGACAAAAACAGCATCAAGTTCCTCTCTGAGAGGGCCTTTGGGACCTTGCCTTCCCTGAAGTCCCTGTCGCTCAACCACAACAACATCTCCTTCATCACCCCGGGGGCGTTCAAGGGGCTGCCCAGCCTGACCGAGCTGAGGATGGCTCACAACGAGTACATCCGCTACCTCCACACACGGACTTTCACTGCCCTGCGGCGCCTGGTCAAGCTGGACCTGGCAGACTGCAACCTTTTCAACATCCCAGACAGGATCTTCGTGGAGCTGCCTGCTCTGCAGGAGCTCTTCTGCTTCCAGAATAACTTCCGGAGGATCCCAGGTGCTATCAGGGGCATGGAGAACCTGACCCACGTTTACCTGGAGAGGAACAGGATTGAAGCAGTAGCCTATAACTCCCTGCAGGGCCTGACCAGACTGAAGTACCTGAACCTGCAGGACAACAGGATAAATGTCATTCACGAACGAGCTTTTCAGGGCTGCCAGAAGATGGAGTACCTGTATCTGAATGACAACTGGCTCAGCGAGCTTCCGGAAAACTCCTTCAATGGTCTGAGGTGCCTGAAGATGCTCAACCTCGGAGGGAATTCCCTCAGGAATGTTTCCAACACCTGGTTCAGGGACCTGGGGGAGCTGGAGGTTCTCTACCTGGATCGCAACAGGATCAACTACATTGAGGAAGGGGCTTTTGAAAACCTCACCAGTCTGGTTGCGTTGCACTTGAACAGCAACAACCTGACCACCCTGCCCTTCTCTGTCTTCGAGCCCGTGTACTTCCTGGGGCGGCTGTACCTGTTCCGCAACCCCTGGGACTGTGACTGCCGCATCGAGTGGCTGAAGGAGTGGATGGAGAACTACAGGCTCGTCAGGGATATTCCCTGTGCCTCCCCCTCCTCTGTAGCCGGGATTGACCTGATGGACGTTCTCTACGAGAGATCACCAGAAGGTTACTGTCTGGACCCAGTAGAGCTCAATGTCACGTCTGAAGGGCCAACCCCAAGTGAAGAGCCTTGGTCTACCACAGAGAGCAAGTTCAACAGCCTTATATCTAAACTCTTGCTCCAGATGGGCCTTCCTGAAGAGGTGACAAACACCACTGAAGTCTCCAGTAATGCCACACAGCTGTATGGACTGGTTGATGGTGTTTCTTCTGGGGTGGGAGAAGACAGTATTGAAGCTGCTTCCTCTTCTTACCTCCCAATACTTTTTACGGTGGTTGTTTTGCAGATTAACTAGTCCAAGGACTGCATGGAGTGTGGGTCCTGACTGTTTAGTTCCTGTACCTTCCTAGTCATTAAGGAAAATTTTGTACTGTGGGCCTCAAATAAATATCTGGCTCCAAACTCTTCTGGGCAGGTTGTTTGGATCTGGCTCCATATTCCCCTGGGAGCTGGTGGGATTCAGTTCAAGGCCAGGTCCCACACTGGGTGACAAACCTGTCCTGTGGGGTCTCAGAGCCTCCCAGGCACTCACAGAGCTGTGTGATAAAGTGGGCAATGAAAGAGCAACTGTGAGGCTGAGTTTTGCTTAGGGATGTGCAATGTCCCCAGCTGGGAGCAAAGGGGTCTGTAGGGGTGGTGTTGTGGTGCTGTTTATTCCCTTGGTCCAACTCAGCTGACCCAAACATGGATGCTATGAGAGCAAGACATACAAGGCAGCAAACTGGGCCCTCTCTTCATATTGTGATAGACACCCACCCCCATGTCGGGTGCTGCTGAAGGCTGGAGAGCTATTCCTGATTTCCACCAGTGTGTGTGGGGAAGCAGGTCCACCCTAGTGAGTATCCAGGGATGCGGGGTCCAGGGATGCAGCGTCCAGGGTTGCAGCACTAGTCCTCATGAGCAGGAGAACAGCACCTGGGCAAGCCACCCACCCCAGCTGGGTCTGGGCTGGGCACAGTGCTGTGGCTATGACCACAGACAGGATATTGATCCTTTCTCCCTCTACTGTCCTGGCACAGGTGCAGGAGAACCAGATAGACCCATGTTTGTCAAAACATTCTTCTCTGAGGAAAAGATATTTAAACTTCACGGCTTGCTTATTAATGTTGTTTTAACGTGGTTTTATTTTTTTTAAAGAATATATTGTTTCAATGAACATATTGGTTTTATTTGTAGATTATCTCATGGCATGACAGCAGGCCAGAATATGGTGACAACAAATGCAACCAGGACCTGCTAGATATTTTGTATTTCCACTACTACTGAGTATCGCATAGCGTGTCATATTATGCTGTACTGACCAACTCTGTTCTTTTCTATGGCATCTTACATGTTTTACCTTTGAAATCTTCAATGAAAGCTGCTGATATTATCAGAAATAATTACCATCATTTATGTATCAGAGCACATGAATAAATAATTTGATATTTTGCTCACAAAAATAAATTACTGGTCAAAACTCATATTGGTGTTGACATTGGTGTTGAAGTACTGTGGGGGGTTTTTTGAGTCTACTCAAATGGGTGCACATGAATGTCCTTTTTATGGTCTAGAGCAAATGGCAAGCTATGTATTGCAGCATAGACACTTTAACTTAGAACATGACTGGGCTTACTTTTGTGTTGAGTAGCAATGCTTTACAAAATAAGTGACTATTCAGAAATACACCTCTGATATTTTAACTATATTACATCATTATACATGGTTTGTGATGCATGATGTACATGTTCATATAAAATGATACACCATATACAATCCTTTATTACTGCTAAATTGTCAGGAAATAGGAATTAAAATAGGATTAAAAAAAACCTTTCAAACGTTTTCCTAAATCTTACTCCCCCCAGGCACTGCCTTTTCATGAGCAATTCAGCACACATGTGAACTCCACCCCTTCCCTGGCTGGCTCCCCATGGGTGCTGGAGCAGCAGCTTTGCTACGGTGCTGCTTCAGTATGGACAACTGAGCTAAACACAACTGCGAGCAGCTGTCCTTGCCTCTGCCCCTTCCCCCAGTCACTTACACCATGGGTACCCAAAAATGCATGCTAAGGACAAGTCAGCTGAAGACAGACTTTGGGCATAGCACAGCTGGAATATTTCTTACCTCTGTGATTGTCTGGGAGAACTGGGGAAATGAATTCACTCTTTCAAAAAGGGCTCAGAGCTTCAGCAGAAGTGCCTGATCACACTGGACAGGCTAGGCCAGCTGGGAGCAAGGGTTAATGTCCTTGGCCTCAAGCAGGACTGACATCCCACCACATCTCTGGACAATCCCATGGACGGTCCCACAGCCAGTAGGGTAAACAGCTCCAGAGAAAGCCAACACCAGCTCAGGTGCAAAATGACTGTACACGCCTGAGCTACCTGAACCGGGGAAACTGCTCTTTTGCCTGCACATTTTGCCAGCAGAAAGGCAGCCTCTCCAGCAGCAGCAAGACACCTGCCTTGGGGAAATCTCCAGGCTGCAGCACTCTGTCCCCAAAAGATCTACTGCTTTCTAAATAACAGCAGTGATTTCTAGAGGAAAGCTGAGTGCAGGGAAATCCAGACCCTCCCTGTTGCGATGGCTCCTCAGCTATCCCTAGCTGGACTGCAGGTTTTTCCCCAGGCAAGAAAGATGCCAGATGGTTTGATAAATGCATATTTGACCTGTTCCATGAACTAAATTCAATGAGTTTGGATTTTCAGGCTATTTATGAGTCCATTAATCTTCTTAAGTGCTCACTTCATCTGCATATGGATGTTTTTCAAACCTAGTCCAGCCCAGGGCTACAGAGCTTTATTCTGTTAAAGATGCCTTTACAGGAGTAGTATTTCATCCTGTCGGGGAAGGTTTATCAATAGGCTTGGCACAGACAGTAGGACATTGAGCACAAATGGTTGTATTTCACTGCCTATGAAGTACAGATGCCTCATAAATAAATTGTTTTTATAAGCCACATTTTCATTTTTTGCACTGAAATACATTAGAGCTGACAATTGTCTTGCTTTCAAGTTAATTGGTGCTTAAAAGGTGCTTCTGTTTTATCTGCAAGAACGACAGATCTGAATGTGGAGCATCCTAAAATGCAGGTGTTAGCAGAGGTTGTGCTGTCAGGTGACAGACCAGGGAACTGTACATCACACTGTATTGTGTGATAATGGAGCCGGTGATTTTGGGCGTCAGTTATTTGAATATCTCCTGTAGTCAAATACCCTAATGGCTTGTCCCAGAAAGGTGTGGCTGCCTAGAAAGTAGGTGGCTGGCATCATGCTGCACATAATGGTCTTCCTTTCAGTAATAGGGACAGACTTCATGTTCTTCTGCTCTGAAATAATTCAGACATTCAAAACCCACCTGGACACATTTCTGTGCGATGTGCTCTGGGTGACCCTGCTCTGGCAGGGGGGGGTTGGACTGGGTGATCTTTTGAGGTCCCTTCCAGCCCCTGAGATTCTGTGATTCTGTGATCCTGCTCTCCCCTCTGAGCTGAGAGATCAGCAGTGTGTGTTTCCAGCAGTACAGAACATCTGGCACATGAGTGCTCTGAGTTGCTCAGGAGCAGCCTGTGACTCTGTGCCCTGCTCTGGCTTTGCTGCTGTCCTCGTAACTCTGCTCAGCTTGGGCACCATCTTTTGCATGTGCTGACCTGGAAGAGCAGCAGCCTTCTGGGAGGGGCAGTGAAATGTGGTTGTTCAAAAGCCTTGACAGAACTTCCGTTACTGAGAAAGCTCAGGTTAGACTTGAAGTGCTCTTTTCACTCTTTGATGATCCTTGTTTCTGAGGTCTTAGCAAAGTTCCCTGATTACATAGGTGATGCCAATTCATAACTTTTTTTTTTTTTTTTTTTTTTCTTAGTCTTCAATCTCTTGGTTAGAAAACAAATTAAATTAGGGATCTGCCTTTTTTCTTGGACTAGACTCCTGCTGCAAAACTGCTTCAGCTGGTAAACCTGCTGCTGTTCATTACAGGTGCCCAGCTTAGAGTCGCTGCACAGATCAGTGCTGTTTTGTGACTGAGACACCTCCAAAGGTGTCACAGGGCTGCAGGTCAAGCCCTGAGATGCCAGTCTCAATTGATGCTGGCTTCCAGACGTCCATGTCACCATGCCATGAGCTGAGGTACTCACAAAGACTGCTCTTCCCTAGAAGGGTGTAGTGCTGTGGGGTCTGTCCTGGGGCAGGAGAGCAGCAGAAGGGAGAAATAATGAGTACAAGGAGGATTTACTTCATCACTGCTCAGGGCTGCATCCTCTGCAGTGGACCCTACAGCTACTCCCACAGGAGCACATGGACATAAAAGTGGAATGATGCCACTGCACTCACATCCTTCAGCATCCTGCTCTCTGTGCACTGGTGAGAGCAAGCCCCAAGTGGTCTGACAGTGGTGGGGTGAACGTTTCATAGGAATTCATGTGGATGTCCTTCAGCTGACGTGATTTGAGTCCATGCATGGGGAAGGATGCTCTTGCCTGTGACATACTCTTTCATTGTGACAAAAATCAGGTGACAAAATCATTGCTCTGCACAGACTTGGCACCCCTGTCCCAGGTCAGGCAGAAGCTGGGGTAGGAGCTGGCAGGAAACATTAAAGAAATATATATATATATTTTAAATTTATTTTTTTTTTTGACTGTTTTGTTGGTTTTCATTGTATTGGCTGCCTGTAATCTGGAAAGCACAAGAAATAGACTAATTACAAGTACTTTCAGCTAAGTCCCAACTGGGAGGGTGATGTGGACACTCTTCAGTCCTGCCCTCAGTGTGAGGTGCTGGGGATTTATTTGAAGCAATGCAAAGGGATGGTCATGAGCTGCCTGGTGTTAGGATATTTCCCCTGACTTAAGGGGTATATCAGATCTACATATTTCCCTCTTCAGAGAGCCAGGGTGCCCAGACCGAAGTATTGGAGGACCTGGGAGAATGCAATTTGTTTTAATGCATGGTACCTGTGAACACAGTGTTCTTCACTGGTGCAGCTGTATTCTGTGCTCTATGACCATTGCTATTATATTGGAATGGAGAAGTGGTAAAAGTAAACAGAAGGAAGAAATGACCTCATTTTGGATATAATCTCTTGGTCTGAGACTTCTGCCCCTGTGCTGCATTCATAGGGGTCGTACTCAGTATTTAAGACCTATAGGAATATCAGCTTTTTGTAGGAACCCCCTCTAAATGTCTGATTTTTATAGAGTCACAGTTTGTTGCACAAATGCCAACAGTATTGATCCTTCCTTTTCTCCCACCAGAATCTGACAGAGACCCACGGAGTTTGAAGAATCTCCTGCAGTGACCTCCAAAACAGTTTTAAAAG